GGATCATTTCCACTTTTACTGGCATCTTCTGATCTCAGAAATAAAACTAAATGTCTTGCTTTGGAACCTAACCTTGCAAAAAGTCAGTTATCACAAACAAGGAAAATGGGGGCACCAGATAATTTCGGGCAAGAGAGAAGGTACTATTCATTAAAGAAAGACAATCCCAATGAGACAAGATCCTTCTGACTAGAATGAATGCCACATCTACTTAGAGACCAGTGAGCAGAGGGCTTTCACTGCACCCTCTCCCTGTGTTTGAAGAAAGAGCAAAGGAACTCTGGATGTGCTGGGGACCCTTTGGTGGTGGGATCCAAAGAACACTAGAAACTTGTCTGCACAGCTTTAGACTTCAGCTACCACGGGTTTTGATAAATAAAGGCACCTGGATTCATCCCAGGTGCAGTTAGTCTTCAGTACCTGCAGCCAAGACTCTTACGGTAGAGATCTGGCTCCCCCTTGTGGCAGAGAAATAGCCGATTAAGAGATACCCCAGGACCTCCCCTATAGAGAGAGTTAAGGAACGTTCATTGCTAGAATTATTTTGGGATATTAGAGGGGAAGTCAAGAATCAAGGAAAGTTTTGGAACAAATGAGGTTAAAATGAGGCAAATAAAACCTGAGACTGTTTTGAAGGCTTACAGTGGTTCTGTGGAGTGAACAACAGGGGGTTAGGTCCTTTTAGGGGATTCTGGGCTCTAGGCAGAGCTAAAATAGTTCAGAAATTTGTTAGAATTGGGTAAGGCACGGCGGTACGTGACTCTAATCCCCTCATTTTCGAGGATGCAGTAGGAGATTGTGAATCGGAGGCTACATGTCAAGAGTGCTCTCTCCTAAAGAATTATTGAGACAAATGGTCTACAACCAGCCTCCACACTGCTAGCACTCTGGAGAAAGCAGACACCCGAGGAGATGAAAACAACTAGAACAGGCAGCTATGATGCTGAAATGTTGATGGGGGGTGAGGGGTGGGTGGGTGAGGGTGACCATTGGGTTGAAGAAGATAAAGGCATGTGATCTCTTGGGTACCCATTTGCTGCATCAAAACCAGGAGGATTTAGGGTAGGAGACAGTTGGATACTGAACACATTGGAAGTCTAATATATTGAAAATGGAACTCACGACCATTCTTCCCGGTCAGCTAGTTGTTATTTTCACAACTTAGGTGGAACTGGGTTTAGACAGGCTAGCATGGGTCTTGAATCTGTCAAAGAGCTGGGTCCTCTGCAAGAACAAGAGCTCTTAACCACCGAGCCTGTAAGAGCTGGGCAGTGGTCGTGCACGCCTTTAATTCCAGCACTTGAGAGGCAGAGTCAGGCAGATCTCAGTGAGTTCAAGGCCAGCCTGGTCTACAGAGAGAGTTACAGAACAGCCAGAGTTGTTACACAGAGAAACCCTGCCTCAAACAACAACAACAACAATCAAAGCAAAAGAGTAGGGTTTGGGAGATGGCTCAGTGGTTAAGATCACTGGCTGCTCTTGCAGAGGACCTGGGCTTAGTTTCAGCACCCACATGGTGGCTCACAACTGCCTGTAACTCCAGTTCCAGGGGATCTGATGCCCTCTTCTGACTCTCTTGGGCACACATGTGGTACACAGACATTCATGCAGACAAAATATCTATACACATAAAATAAATTTTAAAAAAAGATGCTAAGGATAGAGGAGAAAGGGTAAATGGGGTTTAGTTACTACTATTACAGCTTTTGTGAGCACTATGAAATAAAAAGTGTATTAAAAAATAAAATTCCTGCCAGGCAGTGGTGGTGCATGCTTTTAATTCCAGCACTTGGGATGCAGAGGCAGGTGGATCAGTGAGTTCAAAGTCAGCTTGGTCTACAGAGTGAGTTCCAGGATGGCCAGGGCTATGCAGAGAAACTTTGTTTCGAAAAAACCGAAACAAAAACAGAATTCCCGATTATAACAGCATGTCATGTGTGGGAGGGCTAAATGAATTTAAATATTCTAAAGGCCCTGGATTATGCGTAAGAGGATAAATGTTCGATTGACCTAACACTCTGAGCAGTGTGTATAGTGCATTCTAGAAGACACCCAGGGCTGGTGAGATGGCTCAGCAGGTAAAGGCACTTGCTGCCAAGCCTAGTGACCTGAGTTTGAATCCCAGGAGAGAGCACAGGCATGAAGAACTGGATCCGGGGTCAAGAGCTCTTGTTGTTCTTGCAGAGGACCCAGGTTCAGTTCCCAGCACCCACACGGCAGCTCACCATCTCTAACTCCA